TATACTTTTCCATTACCTGTTATGCTTTACACTAATAAAAACAGCGGATATTATTTATTTGGCTGGCTGACTGACAAAGCCAGGCATCAAAGCATCATTCTGGTGTCACATACTTCAACACTCTAATCTTTCAGAACTTGTAAAGCAATCTCTTACGGCGCTTTGTGGGCTGTGAGATCACCCTGACAAACTGTGATAATGTTGGCAATCTCCGAATGGGTGTTCATTTGCAATCTTACTACAGAAGAATTGCTACACTTCCAAATTTGAGGGCTTGACATAATCTGTCTCCACAAAGCTGTCGGGGTCTATTGTAAGGTGGTCTGTGACCCAGGGATTTTATGGGGTTAACATCTATCTCCAGTGCAACTTAATTGTAAGCACCGGAATTACCTAGAGTACAGATTTACCTATTTTTGCATTCTTTCTCTTTATGCAAAATAGCCCTTATTTATATGTACACAGACAGCACCTAGTAACAACATCTGAGTTAGGTGAGGGGGACTGCTCCTAAAAACCATGACCTCTTGCATGCAGTTCACACTAGACTCCCTGCTCCCTTCACCACGCTCTGAGGCAGAGAAATGAGGCAAATGTCAGGTCAAGCGACACAGCTATTGCCATCATCTCTTCCTTTCCGTATGCTCCCAGTACTGGCAGTCTCTGGGCTGCCATCCACAGGATATCCACAATTATGGCCCAGATTGAGGGAGGGGTAGAGAAACGATGGTGCTCTGCCAAGTGTGTCAGAACCTGAACTTGATCCATTTTCATATTAAAACTGAGGACTGCGGGACAACACCATGTTCTCGTCTGAAGAAAGGAAAATAAATTATCACCGCAAAAAATGTCAGAGTTAGAGCAGACCTAACATAAATAACTATTTTATATTTGCCTCTGAACTTTAACCAAAGAAATATGCTGTCTTGATGCTGAAGGAAGATTTTTAGCATGCCATAGGATGGTTAAGTGTCACAAGAAAAAGTGAGACAGAGAGTCTGTCTTTATCATATTTATGAGGGTTACAAAACTGCTAGAGAGGTAATTTAATTTGGAAATTACTTAGGAGTCCTTTATAAAAGCAGGGAATGTGGGATGGAAATAGAAAACTGAAAAAAAAAAAAAAGTACATCCAGTGTTTCAAAATACATTCTAGGCACAATAGCCTTTCCCTGCTATCATCCCCTGAGGCAAATTTACCAGCTCTGCCACTCCTTGCAGTTAACAGAGGATATTCCTCGAATCCTGCTCTGGATGCTGGCTGGCCACTGCAGCCCTGCCACATTTGGACAAAAACCCCGTGACAGGGCACAGATGTGCCTCATCCATGCAGTGCTGGTGCACAGCCTTAACCTTAAGCACTGGTTTGAATATTTTTCTGAATTAACGTTAGGATATTTTTCTGTCTTTAGCATTTTTACCAAAGGAATTCCTTTCCTTGGATTATTCTATATAATCAAAACATAAATTATTAAAGATTTACTGTGCATAATTTTATCCCCATTTAAATTATTTTCTGCATTTTATTCTCTATAGAAAAGGAACTTACTGTCATTTTCCAACCTAAGAATAAGTACCTCGCTGCAGGGTAACTGAAGATTTTTTAAAATCCATATAAATTCCAAACTTGTATTTGGCCCTCAATTACAGCAAACTACTTTCTGCTCTGGTCAGTAAATTGCTGGCTGTTTTCACAAGGATCTACACACTCTCACGTCTCTTTAGCCCTTCAGAAAAGTGAGTACAGCCTTGGAAAAAAAAGCTAGATGTTTTAATGTGTGTATTATCTTAGTGAAGTCAGTAGACTGAGTAGACACGAAAATGGGGTGGAACGAGCAGCCAACCAAAAGATCCACAGGCTTCAAAAGGTTGATACCAGTGCTGCAGAGGAGACAATCCTGAAATGGTATGGAAAATGGTATGTACTTTTCCTTCCTACAACACACTGCACTGACTGGTAGTCAATGCTTTTACTCTAGAATAACCTGGATTTGATGAGTACACTTGAAAACCAGTTATTATTTGACTCTTTTCTACAATAATCTATACTTCTTAAAAAGGAAAGGCTAGTGCCACTTTAGAAGCTTTGTCCTAAAATTTTGTTCTAAACAGCTGAATTATGATGTTTCTCCTAATTATTTATGTTTTCAAATATTTTTAATACTGACAATAAGTTGCTATATATTCAAAATTATTTAAGAAATAAAGAAAACAAACTATAGCTGGTAGGTCAATATTTATAGAGGGAAGTCAACAAAAACATATTAAATTTACCATAAACAAGAGGTTTCCTATCATGACAGCAAATTTTAATGTAATTCATTTGTCATATAAAATTATGTCCACGGGGAGGTCCTATGACATTAATTAGGTCAGAGAGAGAAGGAAAACAAATAAAAAACTTCTCCAAATTCCAAATAATAGGTTTTAAGGATAGCTGTATCAACAATATCATCGGAAAGTTCTTCCCTCCTCTGCCTCTTTTTCTTTCCCAGAGACCAAAATCATCAGACTCAGAATCATCTTTGCCTACCAAGAAGGAAGGAAATTGTACAAGTCCAAGTACACAACATTTCTGAAGTGAAAAGCTTTGCATGCAGCTCTGTCTTTCCAAACTACAAACTCCCTGCAAGAGTTCAGAAACATAATTTTGTAAGGATTCATTGTGTCAATGTGGCTTTTAAGCACAAAGCTGCAATTGCAAAATCTGGGCATGATGCATTCATCACACAACACAGAAAAGCAAATGGCAGAGAAAAACAATAAGAATTTTAGATAAATTTTAATTCTGCTCAAACTCATCCTAACATCAAAACTATGAAGCTTTGTCTGTCCATTAGTTTCTCTAGAGTTTTTTATATAAAAAAGAATTTGTCCTTGTACTTTTCCAGTACCACTCTAGCTTCATTTAGAGAAAGAAACAAGACTTAGCTTTTTTCACTCTTCTCAACACAGCTCACTGAATTGGAGGTGTTGATACACGTACACAAAATCTAGCATATTTTCTGATCCCATTCTGAACACAGATCAGATTTTGCTCTTACAGCTGCCTGTGCAACATTCTGGGAAGACTGGAGTTATAAGGACTCAATAGGAAGATGACAAAATGCAGGGGAGTAACAAACAGCTGATGGTGCTTGATCATAATTGACATTAACATACCATGCACTAGTGGATATCTCCAAAGTGCAGATTTCATGTGATCATGTGAGGGCATGAGATCACATTTCTGCCACCCCTTCCATATTTTAACGATAGCAGTGAGGGACACAAGATACCAAATAAAGTATGCAGTTTGCAAGCATGAAGTCAAAGCATCAAAACGTTTTCAAAAACTACATGAGAAAGAATGAATTTACAGTGGATCTATGCTTTATGCTTTGAGGTGGCAGAGTTCTCGATCTTGTAGAAAGTTCCTAAAGCTCAATTTACTACGTTGTCAAATATAGCCTAGGGGAACAATCTGACTTACAGCATCTTTATGACTGGTGATGAAAGAACCCTGCTTCACTTTTAGATCCCGAGTTTGGCTCAAGATAGCGCAGCAGAGAACAGAACATCTTTTATTTTATGCTGGATGTTCACAGTGTTCCCCTTCAGCACGGAATTAGGTTTTACGACATGGAATTCTCACAGAGTTCACTGTTGATTAGAATTCACACCTTTAGATTTTGGGGATATACTTCACATCCTTCATTATTATTGCTGCTGAAGACATGCATTACAGTATGCTCTTATCATTGTAGCATCTGAAATGGAAATCTTTAAGAAAATTGGGAAAAAAAAATGTATTTAACCAGTTTTCAGAATATCTTATTCAGCTTTGGAAGGGCTTCAGAGCACAGTAACCACATTAATTGCATATTATATGGACAGCCAAGGGTAACTCTGTTACTATGCAGCTTTTACTGTTGTCATGTTGTTTCAAAACACTTTTCATGTCATAAATACATAGGAAAGCACTGCATGACACTGGACAACGCTGCAGATCCTCGAGAAATAACTGTTGCACAAGCATGGAGCAGTCTGCACAGATATAAATAGTATGGCCCAAGTCTGCTCTAAATTACATTTATTCAGGGAAGTCAACTGGTACTACCAGTAGAACAGAATAGATAAGAGGATGCAAAAAAATATAAAATATGGTACTGCTGTACAATTATCCTTGGGCCAAAGCCTGTCAATCTGCCATCGTTTACATTCTCCCCCTTTCTCAGTATGGCTTTACAGGAAATAAGAAAAATAAGAATATCTGGTATTTCTAGTTTTATCATGCACTGGAGGACACACGTCCAAGAACATATGGACATAAATGTGTCAGTATCCTACATCACTTTTATTTCAAAAATGTTTTTAATTTCTGTGGGTGGAGTCCAAAATTTTAATGCCATATTAACAAACAGTGGCTGTTTTTGCAAAGCATGGTTCAGAAGGAGCATTTGTATAGCACTCCAAGGATAACATTTTAACTCAGCTTGAAATGATTTTCTGACTTGTAGTGCTCTTAAAAGGTAAGTATTACTACTACTGACAGAGTATTTCACAGCTTTCACTTTCAGTTTCACCATACACCTCACTTCTGTCCACCAGGATATGAAGCAGGTCTGGACTCTCCATACACAGAACTTTAAATGAATCTCTTTTCACTTTACCATGTAGAGCATATTACTTCAGGATTGATACTTTCAGTATTAGTCTCAAATATATGCGTGATGAATGCTACTCCAGTCAAAAAGCAAGACCAAGATAATAAAAGTCTTTATCTGTCTAACAACCTAAATTTCAATCCAAACACTCCCAATCAGCTTAGCTTCTTTACCAAAAACACAGGTACAGACAGATACTGTGGTTATTTGCCACTCAAATGTTCCAAGTGGATACAGTGAAAATCGAACTGCCAAAGGGCTTTTCTGCAGTGAATTAACAGGTGATTTGGCATTGAAATTTCTACCTGTTAGTAGTTTTCATCTTTGGTTTCAAGACAGAAAATGGGATGATACCTTTCAAAGCTGCATCTCAATCAGACTGTACGAAGAGCAAGGTTTCATTCCAACCAAATCTCTGTCTCTCTCTTGTTGATTTGAGGAAAACTGCCAACGACTGCTGCTCTTGCCATCAGCATGCCATGTAGATGTTAAGAGAGGGCAAAGTAAAGGGAAAGAAAAAAAAAGAAAAATATAAGTTTTATATAAACAACAAGCTACACATAATGACTACATTTGAGGACAACAAAATGAAAACCATTGGCTTTAGTACGAGGAAATAAACAAATACATTAAACCTTGGAATAGCTTCAGCTGCGAGTTATTGGATATGGAGAATATGTCTCTAAAATCAGCTTCAGAGGATACAATATTTTGAAAACATATGATAAACCTAAAGGGACAACATTAGAGAAACATACCTATTGTAGCATCAAATGCACTACGCTATTACTCATAGAGCAGGTTAAGTCCCTTCAAAAACCCTGTAATGCAGTATAAGCACTTACAACATATGTTCTTGCCTGCAAATAGCCCAGGGTGCTAGAGGTGGTGTTTGTTTTTTTTTTTTAAAGCCTTCTACATGGGCCTAACACTGCCTTTGTTGAAGGTAGTGTTAACATGCATCAAATGCAGTGGGAATCAAATGTGGTTAACTGCATACTTTGAAAAATCACAGCCAATATGTTCATCTGATGCCATCATTCTCTGAGGACAAGTGTAGGCTATGGAATAGTACAAGCGATAAGGAGCAGCAGTCTCAAGTAAACTTTTCAGAACCAAGGAAGCTTGTTTCATTTCAGGAGAACTTTTTAAATGGATAACTGGGAATGTGCATCTTCAAAACAGTACTAAAGAGTGAGTAAAAGACTGCCAAGATAACCTTACAGGGATAGAATTTTCAATGCCTTTTCATTAAAAAAAAAAAAAAAAAAAAAGAGTTCTTCAATGCAACTCTTAAGAGAACAGCAGCCAGTGAAAGCATGCTCCTTGGATTAATGCAAGAAGTCAGTACCCCCCAACTAACAGTAAATGTAATGAGAGTGTCTTCAACACATTTGCTATGAATCAAAATGGGCTCACATTCACCAGTATGCAGAAAAGTAGAATCCTAACTATCAGCGAGATCCTTTGTTTTGCTCCAGTAAAACTGTTCTAGGCAGTTGAATATACTAAGAACACGAGAATTGCATGATTAAATTGCATTAAGTTACCTGTACTGATAAAACACAGGATCAGATGTGAACAGAAAACAGCATTTTCTTATCATGGGGATGTAATCATTACGGGTGGGAGCAAAAACTCCTAAGCTGGGAAGTGAAAACAAAAGTGGATCTTCTTTCCCCATGAGAAAGTGGTTCTAGAAAAATCCACCTGAGATATCTCAAATAACATTTTCTGTAGACTAGCTAGAAAACACAAAAAGAGCCTTCCAGAGTGAGCAGCTGGGACATACTTGTTTTGACTTTTCTCGGGTAAAACAGTTATTCCCAAGGAAATCTGGTATTTCAAGAAAAAGAATTTCTGCTGAAAAATTATTCAAATGGAAAATGCCTGGCCATGTCTACAAAGGGCAGGACCACTGCCCTCAGCCAGGGAAAGAAGTGCGCCAAGACCAGTGGACTGGGTAAGTCCCAGCCTCTATTTCTGGTTCCGCCCCAGTCTTCTTACACAATCTTCCATTCCTTGTGATGCTATTTCTTCTCCAGCCTTTCTTTTACGGAATCACAAGATATCCTGAGTTGGAAGGGACCTACTAGGATCACTGAGTACCAATTCCTGACCCCACACAGCACCACCCAAAATCCAAGTCCTGTGCCTGAGAGTGGTATCCAAACACTCCTTGAACTCTCACAGCTCAGGGCTGTGACCCTCTGGTGCAGCCCCTGTCCCTCACCCCCAGCTGCCCTCCCCTGACAGCTCCATGCCGTTCCCTGTCGCTGTCACACAGAGCAGAGCTCAGCGCTGCCCCTCCGCTCCCTGTGAGGAGCCGCAGCCGCCATTAGGCTCCCTTGAGCTCCTCTGCTCTGGGCTGAGCACACCACTTGCCCTCCAGACCTTTCTCCATCTTTGTAGCCCTCCTTTGGACACTCTCTAGTAGTTTTATGTCTTGATGTTGTGGCACTAAGCCTGCAACAGTGCTCCAGGTGAGGCTACACAGTGGAGAGTGGGACAATTCCTTTCTACTCTTGGCTGTGCACCCTTCAGGACAGGAACCATCTCTCACTATATGGTATATGCTGCACAATATAACACACATGTTTAAGGACTTTGAGCACTGCAATAACAACAGTATTTTCCTTCTAGCTAGCTCCTTAAGCTGAGAAAAACACAACCTATGGCTGCAACACTATTGTATACCATGGGGATGCAGGAGGATGTCTTTTCATCATAAAACTAACCAGATTTAATACACAGAATCAGACAACTGTATAGCCCAGTCTTGTGATCTGTGTTCCAAGCTGCCAGAAATAAGGCAGGAAAGAAGGGGGGCCATCTCCTGTGTCCTTAATGAAAGAAGAAGAGAGATGACTGGACTAAGAGCTGATGAGGTTACAAGGCAACAGCAGTGCCATGAGTTGTTTGGGCTTAAAGCCAGATGTCTTGTATTTCCTTTGATTGTTTCTAAATAATTAATGGAATTAATTTAATCATGTGACCCCCTCTGCCTTTTTTTTTTTTTTTAGTATTTGGCTCTGTATACTAACACTAAATATAAAGGAGAAAAATGAGATAGTATATAGCATACTGAATATTGATGCTGTGTGTTTAGACTGCATCAACAGCTGATAATCATATCCACAAGACAGTATATCTACAGCACACACACTGTTTGCATGAAACAGATCAAGTACTAGCCTTCATGCTCCATCCATAAACCAGCTCATCTATGGCATATGGGCACTGCACGTTTGAAGTAGTAAGATAGAGGGTACAGTTTTCTCTCCACCCACACTAAGATGAACCTGCCACTACTATTTCACGTAACATTTTCTGGCAAGCTCCCAGTTTTCAGTCATGCTGGTTTGCTTGAAAGAAACACTCAGAGGAGACTCGGCTCGTCTAGCTGTTTGAACAAACAAAATAATCACATATCTTGAGCTAATGGTCCAAGGCTTAATGAAGTTCATAGAAAAGAGGCTACATATGATGTAAATGTCCCCTTCTGATTTATTCAGATCAGTCACTGCTGTTTGTAAAAGGAAATGGATTTAGAGAATAGTAAGTAGCCCTGTGCTTTGGTGTAGACAAGCTTTTGCTTGGTACAGGAGTAGTTGGTGCACAAAGAAAACTGCAACCACTAGCAGTAAGAATTCCACTTTTCCAAATTTTTCTACACTGGGGCACTGACTGTAACTGCAGGAGAAGGTGTGCTCCTGTATCTGACTTGTTGAAGGTTCCAGTCTCAGAGGCACGATAATCCTATATGAACATTTTGAACATTAGGATTAGACTAACGATGTAAGACTGCCAAAATATAACAGCAGAAATCCTGAACAAATGAAGACTACTGAAGATAGCTCCCTACTCCCTACATGCACATGTACTCAGTAAAAACACTTGCCTGATCTCCTACATGCTTCTACAACATACTCTCAGCTCCTTCATGCAATTCTCCAGCTCCGCTCGTCTTATCTACTCTTTTTTCCAACCACATTTCAAGTTACCTTGAATCACATGGCACCAATCAGCAGATAGTTTTAAATGTAGCAGCTGTAAGACAATGGAAGTGAGAGAGAAATCTGACAGCTTGGGGATCACTCCTGCTTTGTCCAGCAGTGCCCCCGATTTTCAGAAGTAAGAACACAGCATCTTCACAGACGTCAAGAAAAATTTTCAGAAACATGCACAAAGCTGACCTAGGAGCCAGGTAGGAGTATAAGTGGGAAGCTGCAGAGTGCTTGGAAAAATCTACTTTCTTATATTTTAATCCTAGATCCCTATTTGATAGTCACTGGATCAGTCACCAGTACTAGTGTTTTCTACAGCTAAAATTATTCAGTTGTGAGAAGTGAATGCTAAAGAACTCTCTATCAAAAAGCCTGGCCATAATCTTCAAGGACTTAGCAGGCAAGGCCAAGCAACTCTACAGGCATCTTTCTCCATCATTAACTAAGCGAGCCAATTGGCTTCATAAGAAGAAATTAATTTCATTACAAGAAGACTACAAGGGCCATATGCCTTAGCCTCTCAACTGGAACTGGGGCAGCACCAAAAACTGCATCAGCCCCACACACTGTAAAGAACTTCAGCTGGAGAGAGCATCGTTACTACCAGAACCCAGGCTACAGCACTGCAGAGCGCTTTGTGGATGTCAACTCATGCTGAGGGGCACTTCTGCAAGAAAAGAGCAAGATGAATGAGACTGATCACACTGAGCAACCAGAACCTTCCTCTGTCCTGTAAGCCTTTCTCTAAAATGGTTATGAAGTTGTATGTCACCACACAAAAATGCAGAAAAAAAAAGTGGAAAAGAAACCACATTGGTTAAAAAAAGAACAAGAGCAACATACAGAGAAACTTGAAGTGACTCCTACAGTTTCCACCAGCTATGTATAACACACACAGAGTACCCTCTCCTTGAAAGTCAGTCACAGATAAACAGGCACTGGGTTTTGCATTCAATGAAACTGTTTCAAGATAGGAATGATCGCGCAGGAAAAAGCTAAATTACTTCCAAGGCAGAAACACTAGAAATAGTCGACAATATAGTTGGTTGGTATCTGCATCTCAGTAATTCACAAACAACCCTGCATTTGCTTGTTTTTCAGCATTTTGGGAGAGAGGGTGTGTTAGAGTGAGATGATGACATTTTTTCCTGTAGCACCAAGGTTCTCTGAAAGCAACTACGTATCAAACTTTGCTGAGAATGCATTTTTTGTTCTTCTGCTTTATTTCCCTTTAATGATAGCTTTGCAGTGAATCCTATTTGTAAGTAGCTCAAATAAATGCAAATTTTATCTTGTAAGCAATACCTTCCAAAATATTACTACAACTGAAAATAAAAAATGAAGAGCAAAAATGCACTGGGTCTTCCCCAGTGCCCCCATCTCTCCAGGGGACTGGACTGCTTGCTATTACTGTATATGGAGTACCATGCAGGGTACTTGGCATTATAAA